AGTCTTGTTGTAGTTAAGCCTTGATTGCTGTTGGTGTCACTGGGAGGAATTGACCTCCAGGTCAATTGGCTGTGGGGACCAGTTGTCAATGGGAGAACTGCTGTGCTGAAGACACCTTCATGAGGCAGGACTTGCTTCAGTGGGGCTTTGGTGCTCACTGAGTCTGCCCCCTGAATGTGTCTCTTATGGATGTGAAGAGTTGTAATCTGGATGGTCTCACTCTGACCACGGGTAGACTGGCTCTTAGGTCTCCAAGGAGATGCAAAGTCCGCCACTGCCTGATGCCACCCAGCAGGAGCTACAGAGAGATCTGCAGATTCCTCCTCTTTGTTTGGGGTTTGGAGATGCCCAGAGGAGGTGCAGCTGTGGAGTAATGCAGGCTGCTGACAAGCCTTAGGCCAGTGGTTCTCAACCTTGATGGCACATTAGAATCACCTGGGAATCTTTTTAAAATCCTGATTTCTGGGCCTCATCCTCTGGAAATTCTGTTTCTTTGTTATGGTGTGAGTCCACAACATTAGCCAAGGTTGAGAACCAATGCCTTAGGCCTTCTTCTGGAAATTCTGTGGTTCTCCGACCCAGCTACAGTTTGACAGGTTTTTAGCGGAGAAAGGTCAGGCCATTAGTATGCAAAAATCTCTGTGCACAGCTTGGGTGGGGTTGTAAATTGGGTGGGGCGTGGTCTCAGGAAATCACGGGGCGATGCAAACAGCAATGGCCTTCCCCAGATAGGTCCCTGGGTCTCTGTGTCCCATGGCCTTATGCGGGAACAATAAATGCTGCAAGCACCTCTGTGAGAAAGCTGCCCTCATGCTCCAGCCCTATGCCAGACAGTACAGTTTCTCTCTGTATGAGTCTGGGTCCCCAAATTCTTGCCCAGAGCTGGAGTTCAGAGGAGTCAGGAGCTTGTATCTCCCTCCCGGTTGAAAAACAGAACAGCATGCCCAGCTGCCAGCCCCTTCTGCGTGCCTCCGTACCTCCACACTTCCACACCTCTGTACCTCCTACCGAACTCAGTGCGCTTTTCTCTTTCCTTCTAGTTGTAGTATTTCTACTCAGCCAGCCTTCCCGTTGTTCTGAATGATATTCGTTTTGTCTTTTAGTTGTATTTTTAATGTGGTTGTGCGCGGCAGCAAGTTCAGGTGTTTAGCTATGCCACCAGCTTGGTTGTCTCTAACACCCATTTTTGATAAAAACTCAGCAAAGTGGAAATAGAGGGAGTATATCTCAACACAATAAAGGCCATATATGACAAACCTACAGCCAACATCATACTCAATGGGCAAAACCTAAAACCATTTCCCCTAAGAACAGGAATAAGACAAGATGCCCACTTTCATCACTCCTGTTCGACATAGGAAGTACTATGTCATAGCAA